GCCGCGGCTGCGCCCCGGCTCCTGGCAGGACCGCGTAGCTCGCGGGAGGACCATGGCGTCCCCAGCTCTGGCCGCGGCGCTGGCGGTGGCAGCGTCTGAGGGCCCCAACGGGAGCGACGCGGGCGATTGGGGTAGCGGCGGGGGTGCCAACGCTTCGGGGACTGACTGGGGGCCTCCGCCGGGCCAGTACTCCGCAGGTGCCGTGGCGGGACTGGCAGCCGTGGTGGGTTTCCTCATCGTTTTCACCGTGGTAGGCAACGTGCTCGTGGTGATCGCTGTGCTGACCAGCCGAGCGCTGCGTGCCCCGCAGAACCTCTTCCTGGTGTCTCTGGCCTCAGCTGACATCCTGGTGGCCACACTGGTCATGCCCTTTTCGCTGGCCAATGAGCTCATGGCCTACTGGTACTTCGGGCAAGTGTGGTGTGGTGTGTACCTGGCACTGGACGTGCTCTTCTGCACCTCGTCCATCGTTCACTTGTGTGCTATAAGCCTGGACCGCTACTGGTCGGTGACGCAGGCGGTAGAGTACAACCTGAAGCGCACGCCACGCCGTGTCAAGGCCACCATCGTGGCCGTGTGGCTCATCTCGGCTGTCATCTCCTTCCCGCCTCTCGTCTCCTTCTACCGACGGCCCGACGGCGCCGCCTACCCGCAGTGCGGCCTCAACGATGAGACCTGGTACATCTTGTCCTCCTGCATAGGCTCCTTCTTCGCGCCCTGCCTCATCATGGGCCTGGTCTATGCACGCATCTACCGCGTGGCCAAGCTGCGCACGCGTACGCTCAGCGAGAAGCGTACCCCCTCTGGCCCCGACGGTGCGTCCCCGACCACAGAGAATGGGCTGGGCAAGGCGGCGGGGGAGAACGGGCATTGCGCGCCGCCGCGCACCGATGTTGAGCCAGATGAGAGCAGCGCAGCAGAGAGGCGGAGGCGCAGGGGCGCGCTGCGCAGAGGAGGACGGCGGAGAGAGGGAGCCGAGGGGGACATGGGCAGTGCAGACGGACAGGGACCGGGGCTGGCGGCCGAGCAGGGTGCTCGGGCAGCGTCTCGGTCCCCAGGACCTGGCGGGCGCCTGTCACGAGCAAGCTCGCGCTCCGTCGAGTTCTTTCTGTCGCGCCGGCGCCGGGCGCGCAGCAGCGTGTGCCGCCGCAAGGTGGCCCAGGCGCGCGAGAAGCGCTTCACCTTCGTGTTGGCGGTGGTCATGGGCGTGTTCGTACTATGCTGGTTCCCCTTCTTCTTTAGCTACAGCCTGTATGGTATCTGCCGCGAGGCCTGCCAGTTGCCCGAACCGCTCTTTAAGTTTTTCTTCTGGATCGGCTACTGCAACAGTTCGCTCAATCCGGTCATCTACACCGTCTTCAATCAGGACTTCAGGCGCTCTTTCAAGCACATCCTCTTTCGAAGGAGGAGAAGGGGCTTCAGGCAGTGACCCTCAGGCCTCCTGGCACTGACCTCCTGGACAGCTCTGAACTCGGGCAGGCAGAGTTCCAGGAGTGGCCTGGAATTCAGGGCACAGTGTGGAATGTAACCAGCAGGAGCTGGGCGAGAGACAACTGGGCCTCGGGGAGTGGGGAGGAGAAAGGGAGACCCCTTTGCCTTCCCATCTCAGCGAGTGGCTGTGGCTAGGTTGTGGATCCAGTTCCTGAGAGAGCTTCTGTGGAGTGCGGCTGTGAAGTTAGGGTTTTAGATGGCAGACAGCTGCAGCAAGAAAGGACCCCCCCCCCCCCGACTCTCAGTGTTCCCTGTCAGCAAGGACTGACTTCCTATGACCTAAAAAGCGTCTATCTGGGGGAGGAGAGAGGGTGCAGACAATCTCCGGTTACTGAGAGTATTTGTTTGCCAAAAACAATGACAGCCAAAACAACCAAACCATTTTCTAAATAAACCTTTGTAATCTAAGTGTGAGGTACATTGGTCAGTCTTTAAGCTAGGGTGTGGGAGAACTCTCTAGACTGTTCCAAGTATCCTACACAGGCACACACTAGGGGTGTTCTAAGAGCTGAGTTCTGTCTCTCTTTCATGAGGGAGGGGGGATCTCTTTAAATACTTAAATGTTTGGGGCACATGCAAAGTGTATACTCAAAATTCTTTTCTGTAATTGACTAAGGGGCAAAGGAATGGAGGGTCTCAAGCTGATTCCAAGTTTGGATCCTGGGAGGTGTCCTCCCCACATTCCACCCGTGTGCATTGTCCTAAGAGCTCTTTGTAACACTGGCATACAGCATACTCTTTGGGTTGTCTCCTAAAGTGGGCAAGGTGGGGTGAGACATGTCCCAAGAAGTCTTCCCTTACACAAGGACTAGAGTCATGGCCAGATGTCTTTGCCTAGTTGCTGGGTGATCAGAGTGTGCTGGACAGTCCCCAGGTATTGCTTCTGAATCAGAGCCGGGGTCATCGTGGCCCATTGAGCAGAGGAGGATCTAGAGACCCCCACGGACTTCTCCCTATTGCCACCCACTCTTGGCCTTTGCTCAACCCTCAGTCCCCAGCATAAAATACTTTTGAGAGACTTCTTGTCGCCAAGCCAAGACCAGATGAGCTCTCCCTGTAACCCCATATGGCAAGTCCCCAGGGTAGGTTGGGAGGAAGATTGTGAGGACCTGGGCATGGCCTGGGAGAGTCGCCTCTACACCTGTGATCCAACTCACGGGGATAGGTAGGCTAGAGGGCTCTTGCCAGGATCCCTGCTGGGACTGCCTAGCCTTTATCTCTCCTGTGTCCCCACCCCCATCAGTCCTGTCCTCCCCAATCCCCTGCCTGAGTCAGACACCAGAGCAGGTCCTTTTTGGCCAGAACTGCCAAAACTGTATCTTGAGAAAAGAGTTTGGGCTTGCATGTGCGTGTGCGTGCGTGCGCATGCGTGCGTGCACACACACACACACTCATAATGCAAACATGCATGCACACACGCATGCACATACAGTTGCTTGGCCTCTTCATCCACTGTGGATCCTCACGGCATCCCACAGTGTCAGGCTCTACCATCACTTCATGTGGTGACACACTTACTGTGTTCTAGGCTTAGGCCCAACTGGGGAAACTGAGCCTGGAGTGGTAAGAGGAACAGAATCAACTACCTAAAGTGGATCAGGGAGATCTCAGTTCTCTCTGGCCCTGTGAAGAGGGCCCTTTGTGAGATTACCAGTCAGGGACCTGGGGGTGATACATTGGAAATGGCACGGTTGGTCCCACTAGGGCGGGGATTATATCCAGGGATTTTCCCATACGCTTACAGAAAGGCCTCCTGGGCTCAGGGCCTCAGAATTGTTACTGTAGAACCGGCATCTCAGAGCACCCAAGAATAGAGCCCAGATTATTGATAAGATAGGGAGGCCGTCCCCATTCTCTACACTCAATAGCCCCAAATCCAACCCAAGACACCTTTGTCTTGAGCAGAGTAGCATTTTTTGAATTCTGTAAATATTGCTCCAGGCACATTTCGTGGAGCTCAGAGAGGGGATAAATTTGTCTGGGATCACACAGCTAGCCATAACACCCATGCAGGGTTTGGGATCCCTGACTCAAAATTTGACCATAAAATAAAGATTTCCAGGCAGGTCTTCCCCAACCCTTAGGTTGTGGGGAATGGATTCCCACAGAGGAGGAAGGGACTCAGGCAGGGACTAGCTGTTGGAAAGGGCAAATGTGTTTTAGGAAACTGAATACTGGGGTTGTGGGTAAAAGAGAAAGTCTGGATGCCAGGTTGAAGAAGTAGAGACCTCCTCGGCTGTGGGGGGGTGTCGGGGTAGGGTTGTGGGGGGGGGGGCTTTGAGTCTCTGGGAGACTGAGTTTTGCAGAAATCTGTTGGCCCAGCAGCCAGAACTGTCCTATTATGCAGTCTGGCATGGTCTGGATCATCAGGGAGCTCCAAGGACCCTGGGTGCCTGGGTGCAGTAGAGGCCATGCCAGCTGCAGTAGAGCCAGGCCTCCTCTGGATTAGCTCTGCGAACATGGCTGGAGCACCTTGGAGGCTGTCAAAAAACCCTACTCTTTTTCATTTCCTAATCCCAGGAATGATGCTCTAGGCTCTAGCTCGCGCCCTACACCGGCCCCCCCCCCCCCAGGCTCTCAGAGTCGATGCTCTGGAGAGGCAGCTAAGCAGCTGGTTAGACAGACAAACCCCCTGCAGGGACGTTGCCTTGCGTGCCTCCCATTTGAGGATGAGGTGAGTCGCTCACAGGTCCCTGGGATGCTGTCAGCCTTGACTGTTCCCACAGGCACCCATAGTGTATGGAGGAGCGGCCCCGTGAGCTGTGGGCCAACACCTCCATCTACTTCTGTGGTAGTCGTGGTCTTTATGGTTTTGGCATTAATTGGCCTCCTCTATTTTCAGGTCTCTTTTACAGAGCCAAAGTTGTCAGACTCTGTCTATGGTTGAGGAGACTGAGGCCTAGAGGTGACTATGGCCCATGTTCCTGAAGTGGTGAGGGAGAGGAGCAGAAACTACTCTGAAAGAACCGGCTACAGAGAACCCAGACTCAGTCCTAAATTCAGCTTCATGGGTGACATCAGCTGTGCCTCTGGGCCTCACAATAGAGGTTGCACAGCCTCAAGAAGAGTTCGGGCAAAATCCTGAAGTCACCCCGGCAAGGTGGAGGAGGGTGCTGGCCTAAGTATAGGGTGCTCAGGTCCCCCTGCCTGCACCAGCCTGCAGCACACACCGACACATGTGAGTATACTTAACCTGGATGCAGACACTCAGTCGGTGAAGAGGGAAAACATAATCCGGATATCCCCTTACAGCTCAGGACCGAGTCCAAAAGAACTTGGGACTGCTAATACTTAACAACCAAGCAGCTCGGATCTCTGAAGCCCCCTGGGGTGAGGGCGGAGGAGGGGAGGCATCAGTGTTGTTATAACACCTGATGGCAAGAAGGCCACCCTTCCTGGAACACTGGCAGTGGCTGTGTTTTTATATCAGATCTATGGGCTGGGCTCAAATAGTCCAGCCCAGTCCAGTGTTGTTTCAAAATACACAGTGCCTGCAGGCCTGTCTGATTGGGCAGCTGTGGCCTTTTGTCCAGTTAAATGCCAGCTTCAAGGACCTGTGATAGTCCCATATGTAAGGAGACTTAGAGGCGATGACACCCCCCCCCCCACGGTGTTGAGACTAGCACCGTGACACCAGTTCGTATTCCAGCCCATGCATTCCCCTTAGCTGGGGATACCTGCCCCCCATCCCTGGGTGTATCTCGGGGGCAGTACATGGGTGTGGGGTGGGGATTTCATGAATGGTAGGTAGGGTTCTTAGAACTGAGGGACAGAGAGAGGAAGTGGCAGGGACCTGTCTCCACCACCAAAAGAGGGTCTGTCTGGGAAGGGACCTGTGGTTCTCACTAGGCCTCCTTCCACTCTGTACCCAGTGTAATAAGGGCACAGTTTTCCCCTCCCCACCTCGTATACCTCCCACCAAGGCGGGAGGGGGTGAAAGGGCTAAGGTGCCTCCAGCAGAGTACAGCTCAGTCCTCTGAAGTCAACCTGGGAAACCTGGTCAGTTGCAGACTCTGGGCCAAAAGCGAGCCCTGGGGACCAAAAATGTATTTCTTTCCTGCCAAGAGGATTTGTGGCTGCTCACAGTAAAAGCCTGGGCACAATGGAATCATTATGGTCAAGATAAGGAATCAGTCCACTCAGGGCAGATAGAATGCTGGGTAGCGAGCCGGGTGGAAGGCATCCCGCCCTCAGGTCTGAACACAAACCGGGCCCAAAGCTGCCTGGCAGCCATGGAGAAAAAGAAACAGGATATGCACACGGTTATTGATGTGGGGTTGACAAGAAAAAGCTGGAGACCAGGAAGTCTGCGGTATATGACCTCCTCAGTTGGGAGAATCTGCTCCCAGGAAGGGTTTTCAGGTACCTCGGTGAACCCCCAAGTTCAGTTTACTACACCGGCCCAGTCTCCAAGCCCTGTTTCTATCGACAACCACAGGCCCTAAGTGTCAGAGTCAGAAACACTGAGGGTCAGCAGCCATGTTTGAAACTGTGGCCATGTAGCTGTGTGGCCTTCACACTCCCACAGCAACATGAGACTGGGGTCACCAAAACTCCAAGGTTGCCAGCACAAGGAGCTTTCAAGTCTCTTCCCAGCTTGCTCCCAAGGCCCAGAACAAACCAATCTCAGAAGAACCCCTTTTTTGCTCATCCCTGTACCTCTGGTTGCACCCTGCCTCCTGCCCCTGGTAACTAGCGTTCAGTCTATGTCATGCCTAGCCTCCCACCTACGTCTCCCTGGGCCCGCCTCACCTCCAGAGAGGCTCTCTGAGGCTAAGCTAGCCACTGCCCTGTCTTCCGGTGCAGACATGAGGTCTGTGCTGATCTCTGAGGTGGTCACAGCAAGCGGCTGGAGAGCTTGCAGCATCAAGAGACCCAGGCTCTGCCCTGCTCCATTCTGATGCTACAGGGGATTTTCCGCTTTGAGTGCAGACCCGGCTGCTGCCTCCGGCTGTTCAGATATTGGTGGGCGGGTTTCTCCCCCATTTGATCAGCTCCTACTGAATGTAACTCCTAAGAAAGAGCATCTCCCCGGGGCTGCAGCACAGGAGCTGGCCTGCTTGCTGAGCGCTAGGAGAGGGATGCCCACCCAGTCTGTCTGCTACAGACCCTCCCTCTTTCCCCAAGAACATAGGGAGGAGGACCTCAAAGACAACAGTGACAAAGACCAGGCTTGAGGCAGCAATTGGGTGCCGTACCTATCATGCCTCTGTGTCTGCCTCTCACACCCCATCAGGAACGCCTGTTTAACAGACATGATAACTGAGCGCCAAGGGGGGAAGCCAGGTGCTGGTCATGACCCTGATGCCCACCACTCTGCCTCCCTCAACACATCACCCTAGCCACCACTGTCAGCTTCAGGTGTGAGCTGAGCAAACGAGATTGGAGAAATGAAGGATCCA